TACTTAGGGGGACACAGAATTGTTACTGAGGGCCACAGAACCGTTACTTAGGGCCACAGAATTGTTACTTAGGGACACAGAATTGTTACTGAGGGCCACAGAACTGTTACTTAGGGCCACAGAATTGTTACTCGGACAGACACAGAATTGTTACTCAGGGACACAGAATTGTTACTGAGGGCCACAGAATTGTTACTTAGGGCCACAGAATTGTTACTCAGGGACACAGAATTGTTACTGAGGGCCACAGAATTGTTACTTAGGGCCACAGAATTGTTACTCAGGGACACAGAATTGTTACTGAGGGCCACAGAACTGTTACTTAGGGCCACAGAAAGGTTACTCAGGGACACAGAATTGTTACTGAGGGCCACAGAATTGTTTACTTAGGGCCACAGAATTGTTACTCGGGACACAGAATTGTTTACTCAGGGACACAGAATCAGGGACACAGAATTGTTACTGAGGGCCACAGAACCGTTACTTAGGGCCACATAAACGTAATCAGGGACACAGAATTGTTACTGAGGGCCACAGAACCGTTACTTAGGGCCACATAATTGTTACTCAGGGACAGACACAGAATTGTTACTGAGGGACACAGAATTGTTACTGAGGGCCACAGAACCGTTACTTAGGGCCACAGAATTGTTACTCAGGGACAGACACAGAATTGTTACTCAGGGACACAGAATTGTTACTCAGGGACACAGAATCGTTGAATTTAAAGAGTATGTCAGACAACATGCAGAGGAGTGGCAGAGGAGGCAATGTTTTAGGAGCGAGCAGACGTGGCAGCAGAGGAAGGGGTCGAGGCAGCACTATTCGCAGCCAGAGGCCAGTGCTCCCGGTGTCATCCAGCGGTCGTGTCTCCACCGACAACCCTGCCGTCATCGATTGGTTGGCTCGGTCGTCGTCTTCCTCTTCCCAGGTCACCTCTGACACCTACAGCCAACGGGTCGGTGGGTACGTCAGACACAACCGTTAGTTGGCATGGCCCGGACCAAGCCCACTGAAATCACGTGTCCTCTACCTGCCCCTGTCCTTTGGTGTTCCCTCACCAAGCGAAGTATCGCATGCTGTGGGCTCAGCCCCACTGTACAGTGAGGAAGAGCTAACAGAGGGCGGTCAGGAACGGGGGGGGGAGACATCCGCCTTTTCAGCAGCCAGGCGAAGAAAGTAGTGGCGAGGAGAGTGGCTCGGTAGCCGGTCTAGAGACAGGTCTGTCTCCTGACCCAGACGCAGCCGAGGGGGCTAGTAGTGAGGCGGAGACCCTACTTGATGATGAGGAGGTTGATCGCACTTGGCAGCCTCGTCGTCATCAGGCAATTTCTTCCGCATCATCAGGAGAAGAGGGTGGCAGCTTGGCAGCGAGCAAAAAGTCAGTCGGGGGGTTGCCCAGGAGACAGCAGCAGGGTCGCAGCAGTGTCAGTGGAGCCAAACGGCCACGGAGTAGAGCACCAGCTCCACTGCAGCCTACCACCACGGCCAGTAGTGGTGCCGGTGTGCACGGAGGAAGCAGCAGTCAGCCAGTGAGGAGTATCGGGGGCAAAGTTTCCTACTCGGCGGTGTGGCAATTTTTTTGTCAAGCCGCCCGAGGAAGTAAACGTAGCCGTATGTCGACTATGTGGCCAGAAAGTCAAGCGTGGCCAGGGGGCCCATGTTGGGACTACAGCGTTGCGGCAGCATATGCAGCGTCGCCATTTGGTGGCCTGGGAAAACCGTGATAAAGATACGGCGGTTCTGCCCGCCCCAGCCCCCGCTCCATCACCCGCTCCGTTACTTGCTCCGTCACCCGACGTCAATCGCCCTCCATCAGCCAGTCAAGGCTCCAACACCTCTGCTGAGGGGAGTTGTCGCTCGTTGGCATCTTCCGCTCGTTCAGATGCTCCTTCTCCTGCTACTCCTCTTCACGGATTCCGTCAGCAGTCTTTCTTGGAATCCGTTTCCAAAGACAACAGTTTGCGAGCACGCACCCGACGGTGCAAAAGCTGAACGTCCTCCTGTCCAAGTTGCTGGTGCTGCAGTCCCTCCCTTTCCAAGTGGTGGACTCAGCACCTTTCCGAGAAATGATGGCTTGTGCCGCGCCGCGGTGGAGAGTGCCAAGCCGTCATTTCTTCGCCAAAAAGGCAGTGCCAGCCCTGCATTCACATGTAGAAGAGATGGTGGGCCAGTCTTTGAGCATGTCGGTCTCTGCCAAAGTGCACGGCAGCGCCGACGTGTGGAGCTGTAACTACGGTCAGGGACAGTACATGTCATTTACGGCCCACTGGGTGAACGTGGTGCCGTCACAGCCGCACCAGCAACTTGGACAGGTCACGCCGCTTTTGCCTCCACGTTTGCACGTCCTTGGTCCGGCAAAGATGTCCGCCTCTACCACCTCTTCTTCCGCCGTGTCCTCAGCCGCCACCCCCGTGCCAAGTCCCATTACCCGACCGGCATATCACATGTGCAGGGCGCAACGGTGTCACGCTGTGCTGCACCTGGTATGCCTTGGCGAACGTAGTCACACAGGGGAGGAACTTCTCAGTGTAATGAACAGAGAAATCGACAGATGGCTGTCTCCGCGCAAACTCAAAATCGGAACCATGTTGACCGACAACGGAAAGAACATGGTGTCTGCTCTGCGTCAAGGAAGGTTGTGCCATGCGCCATGCATGGCTCACGTGTTCAATCTGGTTGTCAAGCGGTTCCTAAAATCCACCATCCCACTGCAAGACATCCTTAAAATGTCACGTAAACTTTGCATGCATTTCAGCCATTCCTACACCGCAAAGCACACCCTCCTTGAGCTGCAGCGGCAGAACGGAATTGCACAGCATCGCCTGATCTGCGACGTTGCAACAAGGTGGAATTCAACCCTACACATGTTAGACCGCCTTTACGAACAGCGAAAGGCCATCACCGATTTCCTGATGTTACAAGCGGATAAAGGTACTCCCCTGTGTAACTTTGATGTCAGCCATTGGCAGCTCATGCGTGACACCTGCCGCTTGCTCAGGCCCTTTGAGGAGGCCACGCTATTCGTGAGTCGGCAGGACTATGGGATGAACGACGTCATTCCTCTGTTGCACGTCCTGGAACAAATGCTGTTAACAATGGCTGGTCAGGGTGCGGTAGACGTGGCGCACAGATCTCAACGCCACATGACCCCTGTGGGGGCAGGACAGGAAGAAGAGGAGGAGGTAGAGGAGGACATTGGTGCTCAGGAATTATTGAGTGAAATGGGTGGTTTTTCCACTCAGCGGACAGGAGTGGAGGAGCAGGAGCATCTGGTAGAGGAGGAGGAGGAGGAGACAGAGGACCCAGACGCACCGTGGCAGTATGCTGTGGAGATGGAGGCAGGGAGTCCCTCGCATTCCTTGGCACAAATGGCCCATAGCATGCTCGGGTTGCTTGCGTAGCGACAGCCGAATAATAACCATCAGACAGAGGGATGACTTTTGGCTGTCCACCTTTGTTGGACCCTCGCTACCGTTCAAAAATGGTGGCCTTTTTCACACCTGCTGAGAGGGAGGCCAAAATAACGTACTATAAAAACCACCTATGTAGTCAGTTGGTCTCTGCCTTTGTGCGCCAACGTCCATCCTCAGACACTGTGGGCCCTGTGCGCTCGCGTTCCGCTGCCATGGCAGCAGGGGAGGGGTGGGGTGGTAGGAGCAGTGGCAGCTCCACCAGCAGCGGCTGCCTCAGTCTGCAGTCGATGATGAGTAGCTTTCTTCACCAGCGCAGTGAGGAAACTACTAACCGCAGCAGCAGCAGCAGCAGCAGCATCAGGTGGACCTGGAGCAGGACCTCAAACAACAGGCTTGGGCCTACTTGGACAGCACCCTGCCAACCGAGGTAGACAATCCCCTTGACTACTGGGCAACGAAACTTGACCTTTGGCCCCAACTAGCTGAATTTGCCCTTGAAAGGCTGTCATGCCCGGCCAGTAGCGTGGCATCGGAGCGCGTGTTTAGTGCGGCAGGAGGTATTGTAACTCCGCGGAGGACACGACTGTCCACCCAAAGTGTGGAGAGACTCACGTTTGTGAAAATGAATCAGGCGTGGATTAGTCTGGATTTCAAACCACCAGTTCCTGACACAACTGACTAAATCCGCCATGAATCATGCCCCAAACATGTGCCACTTTCAGGTCTCCTCACACTGCTGGTGTGTTCCATTTTTTGTCATAGGGTGCTGGCAGATTACGGGCTCCCATAGCTGCTGCCAGGCCCCTAATCTGCCATGGGCCCCTATACCGCCTCCTCATGCTGCTGCCAAGTCCAGAGTCTCTCATGGGTCCCTGTACGGCCTCCCATTGCTGCTGTCTCCATCGCCACACTCTGCCATGTGCCACTTTCAGGTCTCCTCACACTGCTGGTGTGTTCCATTTTTTTCATAGGGTGCTGGCAGATTACGGGCCTCCCATAGCTGCTGCCAGGCCCCTAATCTGCCATGGGCCCCTATACCGCCTCCTCATGCTGCTGCCAGGTCCAGAGTCTCTCATGGGTCCCTGTACGGCCTCCCATTGCTGCTGTCTCCATCGCCACACTCTGCCATGTGCCACTTTCAGGTCTCCTCACACTGCTGGTGGGTTCCATTTTTTGTCATAGGGTGCTGGCAGATTACGGGCCTCCCATAGCTGCTGCCAGGCCCCTAATCTGCCATGGGCCCCCGTACCGACTCCTCATGCTGCTGCCAGGCCCGTAATCTGTCATGGGCCCCTGTTGTCGCTTGTTGGCATATTCCGCTCGTTCAGATGCTCCTTTCTCCTGCTACTCCTCTTCACGGATTCCGTCAGCAGTCTTTCTTGGAATCCGTTTCCAAGAGACAACAGTTTGCGAGCACGCACCCGACGGTGCAGAAGCTGAACGTCCTCCTGTCCAAGTTGCTGCTGCCAGGCTCGTAATCTGTCATGCGCCCCTGTACCGCCTCCTCATGCTGCTGCCAGGTCCAGAGTGTGTCATGGGCCCCCGTACCGACTCCTCATGCTGCTGCCAGGCCCGTAATCTGTCATGGGCCCCTGTACCGCCTCCCCATGCTGCTGCCAGGTCCAGAGTGTGTCATGGGTCCCTGTACGGCCTCCCATTGCTGCTGCCAGGCCCGTAATCTGCCATGGGCCCCCCCGTACCGACTCCTCATGCTGCTGCCAGGCCCGTAATCTGTCATGGGCCCCTGTACCGCCTCCTCATGCTGCTGCCAGGTCCAGAGTGTGTCATGGGTCCCTGTACGGCCTCCCATTGCTGCTGTCTCTATCGCCACACTCTGCCATGTGCCACTTTCAGGTCTCCTCACACTGCTGGTGGTTTCCATTTTTGTCATAGGGTGCTGTATGGCCTCCCATTGCTGCTGCCTCCACCGCCCACCGCCACACTGTGGCTCCACACTCTGGTTTTGGCCCCGTGACTGCCCAAATGAGTGAAGTGTGCGGTGATTCTAAGATCGACGGCACTCATCTGCATGTCATACTGACTGACAGTATTATTTCTCTTCCCCAGCAGACTCCAAGGGCATTTAAATTAAAGGTACAGTGTTCTGCACTAATATTAAGTCTCTCTGAAGCCTAGAAACACCCTTTTTTAAGTTAAATTCACAGCGAATATATTCGACTCGAATCGAAATTTTTCCACGAATTCGCCGAATCAGTCGAATCGAATTTTTGAATACTTCGCTCATCTCTACTGAAGATGTTAGTGGCTGGGCAGGGAGTTTCAGGACACAGCATTGCAGGACAGAGGTGAGTATAGTTCTGCTTTAGGAAGCAGTCATCTCCTTCCTAGCTATGTTGTTGTATGGTTGTGAAGGGTCAGGGGGAGGGATGTCAAGTCTACCCTCACAGCTAGGTTTAAGGAGCACCTAGCAACATGAGACAAAGCGGGACATGGGATAAAGTGCTATATGTACTTTATCCTATGGGGGGGGCAGAATAGTGCAAAATAATGCTAGTTCTTTAATGTTGCCTTTTAAGTTTTAGTAAAAGATCTGCACCCTGCCAAATGGTATTTTTAAAATGTGTTTCATTGGTACTTGTCCCTCCTGGCAGTGCCCACCTTCTCCCCATGACCTTTGTTTGACAATCCCTTGCCTATTAACCATTGGAATGGAAAAATAATTGATTTTCAGGTTTTACCTCTAATTGATTTTAATAGGATTCTCATTAAAGTTTGCAATTTGCGATTTTTTTGGCCATGTTGGCTGAACATGTCATTGAATTGAACCCAAGCAGATTAGCCTATCACTATAGAAGAAACATTGAGACTAAAGCAGGGTAATTACGGAATTTCATTTCAGATACTATTATATAGTTTTAGCATTTGCTACAATGTTTTCTTGCAGCCTTGGCAAGGCACAGATGCAGCCATTTGCTTATTCCTATTATACTGATTTGGCAATAATTCTTAACATGTAATTACCAGTGAATATAACTACCTATAGGACAATTCTTACGTGTAATATACTAAACAATCAGGAATGGTAGGTAGTGCTGTCCAATCTTCATGAAGATTACATAATCTTCCAGTGTGTCCCTCATTAGCTGTGTAATGTACTTTTTAGAGATGTAATTGATGTATTATGTGGCCTGAGGAGGCTGACATGGTTTGATAAGCGGCTCCATACTTTGCTACTTAACACTGATGGGCTCTCTAGCTGCAAGTTCATTGAACACAGTGTATCACAAGATAACATTAGATGTGTTTGATTTGAAATCATCTAATACTTTTTGAGATATCTTTTGTAGTAACACTTATGATCCCCTCTGACCTTCTGCCTAGTTTAAATTAAGATTGATGAGGATTCATCCGTGTATGACGGAGCAATCGTAAGTGTCATTTCTCTTTTTTCAAGCACATTTTTCTCCATGCTGATAGCATCCTTAGACAGTACTCTAGACTTTCACTCTAGAAAATTACTCAGCTGACAGCGGCCTACAAAAGCTGCCCAAGTAGAAAAGCAAAAATGTTTATCAGGTAGAATCTGAATTATGCAAAACACAAAAAGTATGGCATGAGACTAATACTGGTATTGAGAATGAAAATTAATATAGTTCTGCTGCAAAAAAGACCTACAAAACTCTCATGTGTATAATTTTTCATTATTGTACTTAAGCAGACATGAGAAAATATGTTTTGTTTATTTTTGTTTTCAGCGCTGTACTTTGTGTATTTTATATTCACTCTGTGGGCTGTTTACAGTATATACAGTACATTACATATAGCAGCTGTGCCACTTTCAAATTTTTTGGGGGTTTAATTGATTATTTTATTATTATATTTTGTTCATAGCACAGAATGGTATATTGCGTTTGAATGCTTAAAGCGGAGTTCCAGACATTTTTGTGTGTTTATTAAAAGTCAGCAGCTATAGAAAATGTAGCTGATGACTTTTATTAAATGCACACTTAACTGTCCCAGGGTCCAGCTGTGCTCACCTGCACCATCCCTTCTCTTCTTCTTCACTCCACAGCGCCGGAATCACAACTGTGCGCACCAGGCTGTGCCCACTGCTCATGCGCGAGTCACACTGCGCCTCCTGATTGGTCTGGCAGTCTTCTGGGACCTGCAAAGGTTCCCAGGTGACTGCAGGAGGAAGGAGGGAGCCGAACTTCTGGCTCACTTCACCATGGCGAACTGAGCCGGAAGTGGGAGCGTGTACCTGTAAAAACCAGGTACCTGCTCCTCCCTCCCAAAAGGTGCCAAATATGGCAGTGGAGGCAAGGAGGAGGCAAAGAAGCAGAGCTTCCACTTTTGGGTTTAGAGTTTTTTAAGGTTAGATTTTATTTTAAGGGATGGCACCTACATTTAATGTCTCTTGTGCTGGAGCTGTCTGCCCTAGTTGAAATATATGAAGTTTTATGCCAAACCCCTCTCCATACCCCCCACAGCCATAATCTGTAGAGGTTAATAAAGTCAATGGACCTGTCACAGGCAATTGTCAAAAGTGCTGACTATGCCCATTCTTTCTGCCCCCTTCCTCCATTAACAGAAGAAGAACAGGTGGATGAATGAAATTTCTGCCTTCCCCATTCGTAGAGCGCTTATCGTTCATGGACGCTTTCTTTCATGGAAGCCTCCTCCATTAGTGAAATGCTACAGTAAGTCATTTGCATGAGTGCTAAAGACAACGCATTCTACATTTTGCTGCATTTGCTTTATTTGTTAATTTTACACTGTGATGAGCTTTAATCTTAGATTTTATGAAGAGAGGGTCAATGTAGCAATCACTCTGTGATTTACAAGGGAATGCAGGATTGCTGGCCCTGCATTATTATATTTATTATTATACAGTATTTATATAGCGCCAAAAAGTTTTGCTCAGCGCTGTACATTATAGTGGGGGACAGTACATGAGACAATACAGTAACAGTACAATACACAAGGGGTTCGAGGGCCCTGCTCCTTGGAGCTTACAATCTAGGAGGGAGGGGATAGTGGTACATGAGGAAATGGCTGTGGGGGATGGGAGTGGTAGGAGGAGTGGAGGAGATTGGCTGTTAGGTAAGGGCGGGATAGGCTTCCCTGAAGAGATGAGTTTTCAGGGTGCGCCTAAAGGTGAGGAGGGTAGATGACAGTCTGATGGATTGGGGTAGTGAGTTCCAAAGGATGGGGGAAGACCTGGAGAAGTCCTGGAGTCAAGCATGGAAGGAGGAGACCAGGGAACTGGAGAGTAGGTCTTGTGAGGAGCGAAGAGTACGTGTTGGGTGGTATTTGGATATCAGGTCAGTGAGGTAGTTTGGGGCAGTATTATGAATAGCTTTGTACGTCAATGTTAGTAGTTTGAATTTTATGCGATGGGCAATAGGAAGCCAGTGGAGGGAAGACAGAGGGGGGTGGCGGATACGGAGTGGTTGGTAAGGTGGATGAGTCTGGCCGCTGAGTTTCAGGATAGACTGAAGCGGGGAGAGTCTGTGATGAGGTAAGCCGGTGAGGAGGGAGTTGCAGTAGTCGAGTCGTGAGATAATAAGGAAGTGATTGAGTTGTTCAGTAGTGTCTGGGGTTAGGAACGAATGTATTTTGGAGGTTATGCGGAAGTGGAGCCTTCATGAATTTGCCAGCAATTGGACATGGGCTGGAGGGATAGGTTGGAGTCTAGAGTGACACCTAGAACTTTGGCTTGCGGGGTGGGACTGATGGTGGCGTTATTGGTCATGATGGAGAGGTTGGGGTGGGGGGCACAGGCTGGAGGGAAAACTAGGAGCTCGGTTTTGGAAAGGTTTAATTTGAGGAAGTGGAGTGACATCCAGTCTGATATGTCGTTCAGTAGGCAGGTGATTCGGGCAGAGACTACCCCTGAAGGGGTGAGGGGTAGAGAGGTAGATTTGCGTGTCATCGGCGTAGAGGTGTTAGTTGAAGCCGTGGGAGTGTATCAGTTGGCTAAGGGAGGAGGTGTAGATGGAGAAGAGAAGGGGCCCGAGGACAGAGCCTTGGGGGACCCAACAGAGACGGGGAGAGAGGGGGAGGTGGCAGCGTTAAAGGTAACACTAAAGGAGCACTGGGATAGATAGGAGGAGAGCCAGGACAGAGCGGAGTCTCTGATGCCAAGGGAGTATGGTTTCTTAAGGAGGAGGGGGTGGTCAACTGTGTCCAAGGCCGCGGAGAGGTCGAGGAGTAGGAGGACTGAGTAGTGGCCATTAGCTTTGGCGGTTAGCAGGTCATTGGTGAGTTTGAGTAGGGCAGTTTTGGTGGAGTGTAGGGGACGGAAGCCAGACTGTAGGGGATCAAGGAGGTTGTTGTCGTTGAGGTGGGAGCTTAGGCGATTATAGACTAAGCACTTAAGGAGTTTGGATGTAAATGGCAGGAGGGATATGGGTCTAAGGTTGTTCAGGTCGGTGGGGTCCAGGGAGGGTTTTTTGAGTATGGGGGTAATGTGCGTGTGCTTCAGGGGGGAGGGGAATACACCAGTAGAGAGGGAGAGATTGAAGATGTGGGTGAGGGAGCGTAGGATGGAGGAGGAGGGTGACCGGAGGAGTTGTGTGTTGAGGTGGTTATCATGGGAGGGAGGGCGGGGTGGAGGTCTGAGCATTGGCGATGTCCCTACGGATTGCGTTGATCTTGTTTTGGAAGTGGTTAGCAATCTCGTGGGTGGTGAGTGAGGTACTGGGTGGAGGTGGGGGGGGGGGAGAGAGTAGGGAGTTAAAATTGGAGAAGAGCCGGCGAGGACTGGAGGAGAGGGTATTGATGAGGGTTACGAAGTAGGCTTGTTTGGCAGCGTGGAGGGAGGAGGTGTAGGTGAAGAAGGCGAATTTGTAGAGGGTAAAAGCTTGTTGGCACCTGGTTTTGCTCCATAATTGCTCCAGCACACGACTGCATCATTTAAGATTCTTGTTGTGGTCGTTCTGCCAGGGTTGAACAAGTTGGGATCTAATGCTACGTGTGGTTAGGGGTGCTAAGGAGTCTAGGGCAGCTGACAGTGAGTTGCTATAAGCAGCAGTGGCCAGGTCAGGGCAGGGCAGTGGAAGGATACTGTTGTAAAGTCGGTCAGCCGCAGAGTGGAGAGGGGCAGGGTTCAGGTTGCGAAGGTTACGGCTGGTGATGGTTTGACGTTTGAGGTG